GCCTGTGTAACTCGGTGGTTAGCCGATGATTTGCACAGAAGTTATTCTCTAACACCTCCAACCTGTAAAGCTTCCATTTTCTGCCTATCTGTGTGTAGGTTGGAGAATGCATTCAACTTTGCAACCAGTTCCAAGTCTCCCCCTGGCTTTCACTTTTTACCAGGCTCTCTTAAATCTCTTCCAGTCAGCTAGGTGTGTGTGTGGAGTTGAGCTCAGTGTCTTATGGCTCTCCCATTTTCAGAATCTCCTCGCTAAACATATGTCTCGTCCACTATTCACATCAGCTGGAACAACAACCTCAAACTAGCAAAGCTGTGGGCTTTCTCCTTCTGTTTCCACAGAGCCTGCCACCATTAGCTACTCCAAAGACACTGGCAAACTGTAAATAAGAAGTAAAAATATGGCAAAAGCTATCTTTTCCTGTGCTTTATAAATGTTAATAATTACCTTAGCGTTTTTATGCAACAGAGCATTTTCAGATAGTATATGGTGCCCCCTACGTTGCCGCATCATATTGGGGCCAGTCATAGAGTACAAAGAAAAATGAATTGAGTATTTTTTTAAAAATAGGCTCCATGTGGAGCCCAATGCGGGTTTTGAATTCATGACCCTGAGATCAAGACCTGAGCTGAGATCAAGAGTCAGACGCTTGGGACACCTGAGTGGCTCAGTCCGTTAAGTGGCTGCCTTTGGCTCAGGTAATGATCCCAGAGTATTGGGATCAAGTCCCGCATTGGGTTCCTTGCTATGCGGGGAGCCTGCTTCTCCCTCTGCCTGCTGCTCCCCCTGCTTGTGCTTGCTCTGTTTCTCTCTCCCTTTCTCTCTCTGACAAATAAATAAAATTTAAAAGAAAGAGTCAGACACTTAACCGACTGAGCCACCCAGACACCCCAAATTGAATATTTTAACTGTAGATATGACGAACTCTTTAAAATTCAATAATTGTTTGTTATGGCTTTTCAAACTAGAAATGAAAAAGCCACGGAAGCGCCTTACAAGGGAACTTATTGTATTTTCATTGGCTGGAAAAGTACACATAATAGCAGAGGGACTTATAAAACCTTATATAGTTCACATTGCTGAATGACCACTGGGTGGAAAGTCAGTGACAGAAATCACAGAACTGCCATCTTCCAATGATTCAGTAACTCAAAGTAAAGATTTAGCGACAAACAAAAAGACTGAGTTTGTATCTCCTCCATAGAGCTGAACGTTTGCCTGAAAACAAACCTACATATCTGCCTAGACTTGCAGTTTTGCTTTTATTCAGGCTCAGCATCAACTAATCATCTGAGATCTTCCTTTACATGAATACGATAAACACAAGTGGTATTGAAGTTTTCAAAATGTTAAGTAACATTTTTTGAATGGCTTGGGTTATCTAGTAAAAACTGTTGACATTAGTCTGGATGGTGTAAAAGTGATGGTGGGTATAACTGCTGGTGCTTTAGCATCAATCAAAGTGATGGGGCGCCTCCCTATACTAGTAGTCATTAGGTTCTTCACCACCACACACTTTCAGGAAAAAAATTTTTTTACTGAAGAACATCCTTGATGAAGCAGGAAAAATTATTAATTTTGTAAACTCTCATTCCTTGAGTACACACACACATTTTTTTTGAGTACACATATTTTTAATATCCTGTATTGAATGGGAAGTACACATGAAACACTTCTTTCTTTTTTAAAGATTTTATTTATTTATTTGACAGAGAGAGACATAGCGAGAGAGGGAACACAAGCAGGGTTAGTGGGAGAGAGAAAAGCAGGCTTCCCGCTGAGCAGGGAGCCCGATGTGGGGCTCGATCCCAGGACCCTGGAACCACAATCTGAGCTGAAGGCAGATGCTTAACGACTGAGCCACCCAGGCGGCCCCACATAAAACACTTCTGCGGCATACCAAGTATGATAGCTATCTCGAGGAAAAGCACTGTTGCAATTGTTTGAAATAAGAGCTGACCTAGCTTCTTCGCTATGGAACACCATTTGAAAGAAGGACTGACAGAACAACTTTGGTTATTCAGACTTGAGTATTTGGCAGACATTTTATAAAGAATGGACAAAGTGAGCCTATTTGACAGGAGATATTTGTGAGCTATTTTGAGAAAATAAAATTCAAGCTTTGCTGCAGAACTTAAAATTGGGGGAAATTTGTATCTGTTCCCATGAGCTTGACAGCTTCCTAATACTTAAAGACTTCTGATGAGATCAATGGTGATAATAACATATGTGATATTTAAAAATTTTGTATACAGATCTTCGACTTTCAATGGGGTTATGTCCTGATGAAGTCATTGTAAGTTGAAAATATCATAGATCAAAATGCATTTAATAGGGGTGCCTGGGTGGCTCAGTTGGTTAAGCATTTGCCTTTGGCTCAGGTCATGATCTCAGGGTCCTGGGATTGAGCCCCTAGTAGGGCTCCCTGCTCAGCGGGAAGTCCGCTTCTCCCTCTCCCTCTGCCCTCCTCCCCCACTCATTTTCTCTCTCTCATTCTCCCTCAAATAAATAAAAAAAAAAAAATCTTTTTTTTTAAAGAATTTATTTATTTGACAGGGAGAGACACAGCGAGAGAGGGAACACAAGCAGGGGGAGTGGGAGAGGAAGAAGCAGGCTTTCCGCTGAGCAGACAGCCCGATGCAGGGCTTGATCCCAGGACCCCAGGATCATGACCTAAGTCGAAGGCAGACGCTCAATGACTGAGCCACCCAGGCGCTCCAATAAATAAAATCTTAAAAAAAATGCATTTAATAGTTCTAACCTTCTAAACATCACAGCTTAGCCTAGCCTACCTTAAATATGCTCAGAACACTTATGATAGCCTACACTTGGACAAAATCACCTAACACAAAGTCTGTCCTATAAAAAGGTATTGAATATCTCGTGTAATTTATTGACTACTGTACTGAAAGTGAAAAACAGGATGGTTGTAGGGGCACAGAATGGCTGTAAGAGCATTGACTGTTTACCTTCATGACTGCCTGGCTGAGGGAGATGCATTCACTGCCCCTGCTTAACATCACCAGAGAGTGTGTACTATGTAGCTAGCCTGGAAAAAGATCAAAACTCAAAATTCAAAGTATGGTTTCTGTTGAATGTGTATCCTTTCATAACTGCTCCGTGGAGATTTCTAGCGAGTGTTCTAGCATCTTGTCAAAAGTTAGGGGTTTGTTCCTCTCAATCCCACTCAGCATTTCCCTTCTGGCTAGTTCCATCGAAAGTTTGGCCTGACCCTCACCAACAAGCATTATATTAGTTAATGTAAATCTAAGAAACCAGGTTGCTAAGTTTGAATAAGTATGTTAAATTCTTCAGCAAACTTATGAGGGTCCTCAGTCACTTTAGAAAACTCTTTAACTATGGCTTGTAATTCAGCCTTAGTCCAGAGAACACAAGAAACCTGAGGTTTATTGAGATTCTCAGAAGACTTATTTAAAGAGGCAAGTTTTAATAGGTTCAGGAGAGGAAGGGGTGGGATCGATTTAGAAGAAAAGGGAAGTTCAGCAGAAAGAGAAAAATGGTGCTGGAGGCAGGGCCTGAGCACAGGGCAGCCACTGTGTGTGTGTGTATGAACATGAGGGAAGGGAAAAGGCCTCAGAAGCCATTTTGACTCCTTTCAACTACTTGTTTGCCTCGGTTAATTTAGAAATAGTATTTTGCAGGGGCGCCTGGGCGTCCCAGTTGGTTAGGTGTCGGCCTTCAGCTCAGGTCGTGATCTCAGGGTCCTGGTCTCAGCCCCGCATTGTGCTCCCTGCTCAGTGGGGAGTCTGCTTCTCCCTCTCCCTCTGCCTCTCCCCCTTGCTCGTGCTCTCTCTCCCAAGTGAATAAATAAAAAATCTTTAAAAAAATAGAAATAGGGGCGCCTGGGTGGCTCAGTCGTTAAGCATCTGCCTTCGGCTCAGGTCATGATTCCAGGTCCTGGGATCAAGCCCCGCATCGGGCTCCCTGCTCGGTGGGAAGCCTGCTTCTCCCTCTCCCACTCCCCCTGCTTGTGTTCCCTCTCTCGCTGTGTCTCTCTCTGTCAAATAAATAAATAAATAAAATCTTAAAAAAAAAAAAAAGAAATAGTATTTTGCAAAGAGGCAAACTTAGAATCCTGTAAACATCTGAAAGCCTTGAGGTACCATTTAAAATAGGCATCCCATTAAGCCTCCCCCCTGCGCGTGCACCCCCCCCCCCCCCGCCTCCGCTTTTCTTTTCTTCTAAGAACCCTCGGCTTTCTAATTTAATTTTGAGTAAAACAAGTTTGGGGAGATGGAAAGTTCCCCATAATAGATGCTGATGTCCTAAATTACTTTTCGTTAAGTTAGTCCATTTAGTTTTACATGTGCATGAGGGGGCACCATAGTTTTTAGGCATAAAACTGGCCAGAGTCCCAGTAAGGGGAAGTGGGGCACCCTCAAAGCATTTTGATGACTGGGATTCCATTTCTTTAAGGATTTTCTCTAAAGCAAAGGGAAAAATTACTCAACAGCAATTCTAACAGGAATAGCCTAGCTCCAGAAGGAATCAGACCAAAGGCCAGCACAGTTCCAGTAGGAACAGTCCAATCCCCAAACGGAGTCAGACTGAAGGCCAGCCCACGTCCAACTGGCACAGTTCCAACAGGAGCAGTTCTATTCTGAAAATGAACCAGACTGCAGGCCAAACAAGTACTCTAAGAGAAAAAAACAAAGCCTTAAAACAGATCCTGAATATGGGGTGCCTGGGTGGCTCAGTGGGTTAAGCACCTGACTTCTGCTCAGTTCATTATCTCAGGGTCCTGGGATGGAATCCCAGGTGGAGCCCTGTGGAGCCCACGTGGGGCTCCCTGCTCAATGGGGAGTCTGCCTGTCCCTCTGTCCCTCCCCCAACCATGCTCCTGCGAGGGCACACGTGCTCTCTCTCTAATAAATAAATAAAATCTTAAAAAACAAACAAAAAACCCAGATTCTGAATACAGCCTGGAGAACTCAGACACACAGGTGGAGCTTGAAATCCAAGAGAAAACTTACCCTTAAATTCCAGGGTCAGTGAGAAAGCAGTGAGTCCAACTGGTCCTCGGGTACTAGCACCAGTTTGCTCACCAGGCTTGGAGCTGTTGGGGGTCCTCTCTGGATTCCACATCTCATCACCAAGTAATGTTAACCTGAAAAAAGAAAACTGCCAGTTATTTTACCAGCAAAATGGGTTTATTTATTTTTAAATATTTTATTTATTTACTTGACAGACATAGCAAGAGAAGGAACACAAGCAGGGGGAGTGGGAGAAGGAGAAGCAGGCTTCCCTCGGAGCAGGGAGCCCCCAATGCGGGGCTCTATCCCAGGATCCTGGGATCAGGACCTGAGCCAAACACAGATGCTTAACGACTGAGCCACCCAAGCGCCAGCAAAATAGGTTTATTTGGAATAGCAGAGAATTGCAACCCAGGACAAGCAAGCTACAGGAGAACCAGAGGCAAAACCATAGGAGGGATCACTCTTTTATAGAGGAAAGGGGGGCAGTTGGGAAGTCTGTTATAAACAAAACTCCACTGGAGGGGCACCGGGCTGGCTCAGTTGGTAGAGCATGCGACTGCTGATCCCAGGGTTGTGAGCCCAAGCCCCCCGTTGGGCACAGAGTTTACTTTAAAAAAAAAAAGAAAAAAGTCCATTGGAGGAAACTGGGAGTTCAAAGTATAGTGGCTTTTCATTGGCTGAGCTGTGATAGGCTCTCGTTGGCTAGTTTGTTGCCGGGGGGAGAGGAAAACCTGTCTCCTGCCGGGCTGATAAGTAGCATCCAGAGGCAAGGTCCTCCCTTCCTGTTGGGTTTGCAACTGACATCAAGTAGTCCGGAATTGCCCTCCCTGCCACCTGCCTCTAATTCCATCCTAAAGGAGGTTTCCTTTTATTAATATTTGTGATATGGTTTCAAATCCACACTGCAACTAACCTTCAAGAGATTATCACTTGTCAAGTTTTTGTGTGTTCTCAAAGAAAAATATCCTCAATGATCTGAAAAAGCTATTAAAATACTTCTCCCTTTTCCAACTACATATCTGTATCTGCGTGAGGCCAGAGTTCATTGGTTAAGTAATTCATTTAAATAATATATTAATAAAATAATAATATTATTATTTAAATAATTAATACATTGTAAATATGTTTAAAATTCCCCAGTTAATTTTAATATAATAAATACAAAGAGATATGACCTATGTATAAACAATAGCTCTTTAGGGTCTTTAATTTTCAAGAGTTTAAAGGAGTCTTTTTTTTTTTTTTTAAAGGAGTCTTAAGACCAAAAACTTGTGAGAACAACTAGATTTGAGTAATAAGGGCAGAGGAGTTTTGGAGGTTTGAAAAGACAGGAAGAGATATGAGATAATACTGGGAAAGTAACTGGCCTGGATAATGTGGCAAGAGCATCCACTAATGGCCTACTCGCACATACTGATCACAATTTTAAAGTGAGACCAGTCAGCCTGGTGGTGTAGTCTTTCTCCAGCTGCATTTGAGTGCATAGTGCAGGCTTGGAGCAGGTGAAGACTTGGATTTACTGTAGTTTGGCTTTGCCAGGCTGGTGAAAAAGAGGAAGACTAGGGTAAGGGAGTTTTGTGCACAAAGGAATGATTATGGTGATATACTGTGCAATCTAATCTGGGCAAAAGAATGGAAGGCATGAGAAAGATGAGACACAGTGGAAAATGGGAAGAATAATGAATAGTAGGCTTTGATAAGGTGGCTGAATTGTTGGAAATAGAGCTCTACATGGAGTAAGCTTGAGGAAGGGAGAAGGGGTGGTCCAAGAGTGGGATGTTTATAATTTAGATCGTAGAGGGGGTACAGTTACCATTTATGGGTCTAGCATATGACAGTGGGGGTGGGTGGCTGAGGTAGAGTGGAGGACAAGGTCACATGGGAAGAAGAGGGTGAGGAATCAGCTGGTAGGATCTATACATCCATTCCAGTTGTTAAAATGTTGCCATTGTTTTGTACCAGTTGGTTAATGAGTCCATCCTGATGCTCCTCCATTGCCTTGGCCACCTGGCCCCCTGCCCCAGGACCCAGGACCTCCCTATAGCAATTAAAGTGTAATACCTGGCGCAGGCTGAGGCCCTGCAAGGGGAACAGCTTTGCTTCTGATTGGTCTCTGCCTGTGCTTTACCTGAAAGTCACCACTGTTTCTATGAATATTGAAATCACCAAGATTTGAGATAGGCATACTCTTGGAGAAAGTGGCAATAAACATGAGCTAAAATCATCAAGGAGAAAAGACCAAAGACCCAGGGGTCTAAAGACGCCTGCCTGCAGTAAGAAGTGAGTGCTATTGTCTGATGCTATGAGCTTTAATGCTGGAGATTTTCATAGAGGAGAGAGGAGCAAAGATCTGGACCTGGAAACAAGGAAGAAGCAGACACATAGCTGGCTTCTGGGCCCAATGGGAGGAAGAGGAGGGGGAGAAAGCAACTGCCACTTGCAAGGGTTACGGAAGAAGCAGGGTCCTCAGGAGAGAGCCAGGTTTCAAGAAGGTGAAAGGAACTTTCAGAGAAGAGGTTGAGGGTGTGAACGGTGGCTGTCAATCCTATCAGACCCAACAAATGTTATGCAATGCTCCTTTACTATTCCGGAATGGAGTTCAGAGACAATATAACCTGTGCATAAACATGACTTTTAAGAGTGAATCTAATGCCTGAGTGACATATAACAGAGAAATAAAAGTAGTATTATTTAATTAAATAACGTCTCTTTCAATATGTAAGAGCTTGGGAATGCCCTCAATCAGGTTAGGATAAATTGATATGCTTGCAATTGTATACCAAATCACCATGGATGACAGACACCTACAGATGCAAATCGTTAGTGTTGTATTGACTCACACCTCAAACACCTTGAGCTGCTTTGCTATTGGTAATGTGATTTTTCCCCCCAAAATGATAAAGAACTCCTGGTAAAGTTTCAAATATAATAAAGTACAATCTTCTCTTAATTTACATCATCACTGCGATCTTGAAAAATTCAGCATCCTTGGTCCTTACCCAGCCAGTGCCATGTGACTTTGCAACAACCCTAACAATTTAAAATATTCCCACAAATTTCCAGAACTGTCCCTAAGACTCAGCACCCTTCATGCTGACTTTCCCCAAACAGGGGATTTTTTGAATGACCATTATGTGGGGCAAGGGGCACAATGTTTGACCTTGAGAAGGGGTGGGTGTTGCGGTTAGCTGGGGAGGAACACTACAGAGCTGCATGTCTGTGATGCATGGTCTCTGTCCTGGAGGAGCTGGTAATCTGGTGAGCAGGTGAGATTTAGAGGAGACTAAGAGCATTGAAAATAATAGTTACATGAAGGTTACATACTCTTTACTTTTAATAATACAAGAAAAGACAGGAAGACTCATAACAGCAACACTTTTCACAGGAAAAAAATCAATCTCGTGGATTTTAGAAGCATCCTCTTGTCAATTCAGTTTTTTAAATATGTGACAGAGGTTTTCTATATGGAAAGAGTTACTTGCAGTTGCTTGGTTTTCATGGATAGTTCATTTAATAAAGTTGTAAATTTAAAACACAGCTTTTCTTAAGCCTTTAAGCTCAATTTCATTTGTCCCTTAATTAACATTCAGTTAAGTTTAACAGATGATATTTCTTGAAACAATTAACCCATTTAACTATCATGGTAATTAAATCCCCTTAAACATTTCAAATTATAATCCCAAATTTAATATACTTGATTCTCTCAAGCAAGACGCTCAACAAGGCTGATTCACTGATAAGACAAAGAAAACCTCTGTAGCATGAAAACTCTAGTTACAAACCTAAGGTGTCTAAAAAGTCCTCAAAACATTTCAATTTTGGGGCGCCTGGGTGGTTCAGTCGGTTAAGCATGTGCCTTCAGCTCAGGTCATGATCCCGGGGTTCTGGGATCGAGCCCCGCGTCGGGCTCTCTGCTCCGTGGGAGCCTGCTTCTCCCTCTCCCTGCTGTTCCCCCTGCTTGTACTCTCTCTCTCAAATAAATAAATTAAATTAAATAAAAAAAGAAAACCTCCCTTTAAAAAAAATTTCAATCTTTTAGACAAATACTGTTTATAAAATTAGACAAATCTTCATGCATTTTAAAAGTAACATTTCGGGGCGCCTGGGTGGCTAAGTCGTTAAGCGTCTGCCTTCGGCTCAGGTCATGATCTCGGGGTCCTGGGATCAAGCCCCGCATGAGGCTCCCTGCTCCGCGGGAAGCCTGCTTCTCCCTCTCCCCCTCCCCCTGCTTGTGTTCCCCTCTCGCAGTATCTCTCTCTGTCAAATAAATAAATAAAGTCTTTAAAAAAAAAAAAGTGACATTTCCAGGGGCACCTGGGTGGCTTAGTTGATTAAGCATCTGCTTTCAGCTCAGGTCATGATCCCAGGGTCCTGGGATGGAGCCCCATGTCTGGCTCCCTGCTCAGCAGGGAGCCTACTTCTTCCTCTCCCTCTGCTACTCCCACTGCTTGTGCTCTCTCTTTCCATCTCTCACTCTGTCTCTCTCTCAAATGAATAAATAGAATCTTTAAAAATATAAATAAAAAATAAAAGTAACATTTCCAATTAAAATAACACAATGTGTCAAATTTTCTTAAATGGTTCAAACACCATAAATAACTATTATATACCATTTTTCATGACGGTGATAAAACTTATTCCTAAACCTCACAAGAAATTATTAATCACATGGGCTTAATTTACTTTATTATCTCTGTACTTGGTTGTAAAATTCCCTGAGTAGCAGTCACTTCCCCAGCTGCAGGGAGCAGATGTACCATCTCAGGCCAACGGAGGGCCTTGACCAAAGACTCCCGTTAAGAAACCCTTTCCTGTGAAAAGGTTTCAAAGTCAGAGGTTCTGGCCTGCAAGTTGGATGGTACTTCTGGGCCGATGCTACTCAAGACTCAGGTTCACCTCCCCAACCTTGTCTTTAGGTCACGGAAATTTAAATCCCCAACTTTTCTTATGATTTGGATCATGAGTCACAAGAAGTTATTCCACGTAGTCAAATCTTAAAATCTTTACTGTAACTACGTAGTCAAATCTTAAAATCTTTACTGTAACTTCGTTCATGCCTCTTTACTGGCTGGTAGGACTATATGCTCTTCACCTATTTTATTTCTTACTTGTCTCGCTGATCTGATTTTTA